ACTACTACTACTACTACTCCCACCACACCAGCACCACGAAAGCACCGCACAAGCGCGCACACACACACACAAACACACACCAGTACCACACACCAGTACCACACCAACACCAGCGCCAGCGCCAGAGCCGGAGCCAGCACCAGCACGAGCACCAGCAACACATTACCACCACACGACACCACCAACCCACCACACTGCCTCACCACCTCCACCACCTCCACCACCGCTGATCTGGCCACATGTCTTGTTTTCCTCTTTATGATGATCATCTCCGTTTTCTTTACGGTTGTCCTCTCGATATCTAATATGGTTATGACAACCAGCGTCAGAACTCTCAGTGTGATCACTATCAGCATGACCCTGAATGGCCACTGCTGTTGCAACTGCTGACGTTCGTCACTTCTCACGCAGCCCTTTCTGAACAAAGTTACTTGTTTCCTTGTTTATGCTTATCTTCTCTTTCTGACAAAATTTGTTGAGTGCTACTATAGTGGTAGTACTGATGATTTACTCATGGCGACGATTGACTCTTGCTGGGGCTGTTGTATCATTCACGGAGATCATTCAAACTCGGGCTCGGACCCATATCAAGCATTCGGTCTGCCTGACATCTTGCATCTTGCTGGCTAGCACTAATGCTAATGCTGGCCGTCCCGTGGGAAGTGGTGGGCACCTTTGCCGCAGGGGTAACAGATCTCCAGCTCAAAGCAGATCGAAACATGTCGAAACTGCGGATTTGGCCGCATTCCCAGTGACAAGCCGATACATCGCAGTGTGGTCTGGGCCTCATCTAGGATGAAGAACTGAACACAGGCGAGGGAAAGGAAAGCCCGCCTCAGAGATGGGCTTGGCATGCATCAGTGCTGCTAGCGGAAGCTGCGCCCTATCTGGTGAGATGCAGCGTGCCTCTGGGATGTAAAGTCCTCTAAAGGCGACATGGCACAGCAAGTCCGTCGAGCCCCACCGTGAAACGAATGTACTGACGTGACAATCCAAAAGCATCCCGTGCGACAGCTTGGTCCAAAGGTGTCCGCATCCCTTTTGGGCGCGTAGGAGAGCCGTCCAATCTAGGCGTCTAGGCGCTGAAGACGACAGCTAACATGAGCCAATGAGCCCCATCTGGGTGTCCGGGCTCGAACATGTCTGTCAGGCGTCCCGGCGTGGCGATTAGCACATCGCAGCCCCTGCTTGGGAGAGTTGTGGCTATGGGCTCGACAATGACCAGGTCTGCCAGCCCCGGCAATCAACGCCGGCGTCGAAAGGCACATTGTAGATGAAACAAAAGTACTGCGTGGTCCATACCGCAGGTCCGAGGACAGCAGCGCCAATCATCTTCAACACAATCCTAGATGACCGGAAACCGAGTACATCTCTTCAGCTGATCGACTCAGCATCCTCACGGGGCCCAGGCCCCTCGAGCTCACTCCTCTGTTCTCGCATGTCCGCACCGCCGTAGATGATGCAGCAACGGATCTGCAGTGGGACAAACCGAATTGCAGGCTTGCGGGTTCCTGTGCTCAGGGCTACCAGTAGATTTCTTGTTTGACCTCTGCTTCAAAGCCGGATGAGTTCTTGACAAGTCTGAAGCAGCCCGGCCGGTCAGCCAAGGTCTTCTGGGCGCTACCGAAAATTGCTGGCCCGGCCTTGCGAGCAAGATACCGAAACCCGAAACTTAAACCCAGCCTCTCGCCTGCCCCCCCCACCCCCACTTCAAAAAACAAAAACAACAATCAATAAAACTCGCAAGATGTCTGGGATTGGCACCCCAGTGTCGAAGGCAAACTTCTTGCTCTCTTCGTGAATTTGAGATGCCAGCCTGAAGGTGCTGTGGTTGAAGGCAATGCTTCTCTCAAAAGGCGGGCTATTGCACGAGCGAATAACACTCATGCGCATCACCGTTATTATCATCGTCGTCATCATCGCCAAGGTCGTCCAGATCGTCATTAGATCATCATCGTCATCATCCGCATCCTCCCCATGCGGCCCCATCGTCATTTCAGCAATGTCGCACTGGCTTTGATTAGGTGAATTTTTGCGATGGGTTAGTCACTTTTGGCCGTGTCTTTAACCGTAGTCCATACTTTGTTTTTGCCCAGCGGATTCTTTGCTTGTCTTTTCCTTCTGCCGATTGAGCAGTACGTGGTAACGAGGGATTGGGGAAAGCTCATTGTAGCAGGCCTCCGGCTGGTCGATTCGGGGGTAGTTGGAAAGGGTGAAACAACAAAATCTTCAAAATAAAGGGTGTTTAGTACTAGTAGTTGTTTGGAGTGATCGGGATTTAGTTTCGAGGTTTTGGGGGCCCCTAAACTCCCTAAACGGCTCTAGGTACCCCTAAACCTTCCTACTGTACTATGTTAACTACTGTACTACTATTGCTATTACTGTACTTGCTGTTCTACTACTGTAAAGTAGTACTAGTACCGCAGACTCTTCTGAAGAGCAAGCCTATCGCCCTCCACAGCTCCCGGGAGTCCGCGGAGCACACTATTCAGACCGCCAGGGAATGGTTGGTGGGGGGGGGGGGCCACTAGCAACATTTCGTAGTGCTATCTTCTGACGCCATTCACGATCGTTCCCGTCATTGCTACTCTCTGGATATCGTTTGAGCGGATATCTTTCACAACCAGGATGGCTGAGGCCGTAGCTCGCGCGTGGGCGCCAGGCAAAGGCCACAAGGCGCTGGCTTCTGCCGGCCCCTGTTTCGTGCTTCAGGGCGACTCTGTCATGAAGATTGGAGGCACAGGGTTAGTAGTGAGTCGTGTTTAGCAGGCATGGTAAGGGTCAAGAGCACCAGCCTCGGGGGCCATTCTTCTTGGTCGGAGGTATGGTCGAACTGCACCGTGAACAGCTCAAGTCACGTCGAACTCTAAAACATGAGATTCTGAACCTCACACAGGTCCAGAGTCCAGACACCCTGAAAAAGGGGTGCAATGCAGACCTCCTTCCCCTTCCCAATTCTCCGATCTGCCTGCTGTTCTGCTGTGGTGGTCCAGACCGGAGCAGGGACTCGAGACAGGGCACCATGAAGGCGCAGGTCTTTCCTTCCGTCGAAAGGCTCAGGGACATTCGAGCAGCAGCTGCTCGCTTTGCAATTTCAGGAAGGGTCTGGAAGATTGTAATTGCAGTTTCGGCACATGTTGCTCTACAGCTTATATAGGAATCATATGACTGGCTGAGGTTCCCGTTCCATGGAGCAAGAGCTGACGCAATTCAGCTGACCGTTTTCCTCCGTACGCTGCTTCTAAAACAACATCCGACCGATGCAGCAAACTAACAGTAACTAACACATTGCTTGGCCCCATAAGCGTTGCGGGCAGCTGCACGCCGGGAACCTGGACTGGAAAAGAACCCCGCCCGCACCTGCGCCTACACAAATCAAAACTGAGGCAGCGGTCGACCGAAGTTAGAGACTGAAATCCCAACAACCCGGTTTCTCAGTTTGAGAAAGTGCTTTCGCTCCTACGGCCCTTTGAACTTGGCCCCGTTTCTGGCCTGAGCCCGTCTGTGCGCAAGCCATCAGATCGCGCCCGGACAGCACAATGGGTATAGAGTACTTCTGCACCTTGGTGGCTCCCTACTTCTGGTCTGTACAGGGATCCCTGATGGTCAGCATATGACCGGGAGCAAGGCAGGAATCTGGGTTTAGGTGTTCGGCACTAGTCTTGGGGCTGACAGGGGCTTGTATCTAGACTTGAAGCAGCATGCAAACAAGGACCGTCCTCGATTCATAAACCCTAGGACCCAGGATGCTCGAGACCGGTGCAGGGGTTGGGCGATCGTACCCACATCGCCGGAGGTTGTCGAAGAGGGAGTCCACGAGCTTTGCCTGACACACAGCAAGCGCACAAGAATAGGCAAAGGCCTGCCACAGTCAGATCAACACCTACGTTGGGCCCCTTTTCCACTGGTGGCAAGAATGCGATAAGTCAGTCCCATGCACTTGAGTCGAAGCCAAGACTGCAGAGCAATTGGGAAGCACTCCAACTGAAGAGCCAACCCACATCAGCATTCAGCCTCGAGTGGGCACTGCCTTTTTCTTTCCGCGACGCTTGCAGCATCGAAACAGCAGATTCAAAGCGAAACGACCCAGCCATAAGAAGAGGTAATATCTCGATGGTGATCATATTGCAACTAAGTTCGTTCACCTGTGCTATGCATGCACACCCAGTCAAGGCCTCTGAAAAACGGACGATCGGTTTCACGTCCGTGCTGTTCTCGCCCGAAACCTGGCTCAGGATTTCAGAGGTCGACATGTTCTAAGACAGATTTCGATGCCCGCAGCCCGTGCGTTGGGCATCTGTGGCTCGAGGGCCTTTGGAGGAGTCTTTCCGGAAGATGCATCTCTTGCCAGTAATTCTGTCACCAAACCTTGGCCTCAGATCGGCCTGGGCCGCTGAAGCCCTGGAGATGCAAACTGAACCCGGAACCCGGGTAAACACTGAGCCCGGAAGATCCTGCTCACGAGAAGGAGCCTGCACCGGGATAGCATCGTATTTGTCAAAATCGATGCCGCTCGTCGAGCGGGTCTTCGGTGGCCCAAAGACCTGCATAAGGCTGATGATCCTCAGGACCTCTTAAGCCTCGAAAGCGGAGTATCCAGGGGACCGGGGTTTGGGGTTTTGGTTTCGGGCTTGAGGTGTATACTGTTTATGGCTTCGCAGTCAATTCAAGGCTTCATGGGCTCTAAGACTCTGAGAGTTCGACGCCGGAGGTGGTCCACAGGGTCTTCCCCAAGCTCAGGGTTTCACTGAAAGGGGACTCGAGCTCCGGAGGTCGCTCTTGCAGTTTCGGGAATCCTTCTGAGTTTGGAGGCAAAGGCTTCGACAAATGGTCCTAGGCACAACATGACCCCTAAACAACAGAATGAACCAAGGATCAAGCCCCGACCACTCCCCATCAACAGGCTGCAGGAGAAACTGCCAATATGCAAGAGCGGCCAAGCAACCCCAGCCCTAAGACGAGACAACTGCCTCGAGCTCTGTCTGCTGCTCGTTGCGTTTGTTGCCGAAGCGCGTCGACCTTGAAACAAAAATGCCCAAGATTGATTTGGGCGGCTTGGAGTGGCTTCCATGTGCTGCTACTCTGCTATTTCTTGAGATCGGTCTTCAGAATAGTGAGAACGACGGAAACAAGTAACATCATGAATATGATTAGTATGACGGTCGAAAGAAGTAGCAGCAGCAGTAGCAGTAGTAGAAGCAGTGGTGGTAGTCAGTCGTAGCAGTCGTAGCAGCATTAGCAGTCGTAGCAGTCGTTGTAGTAGTAGTAGTAGTAGTAGTAGTAGCAGCAGTAGCAGTAGCAGTATCAGTAGCAGTAGCAGCAGCAGTAGTAGAGGTCTTCATGATGACTAGGTTCCTAAGCATTAGTGCCCTGTTGCCCTTGTTC